TTGCTGTATGGTAGTGAGTCATGAACAGTTCGCGTAGATGAAATGCGCCGTCTCTCGACCTTTGATAATGGGTGCTTGAGGAGGATTGCTCATGTGTGGTTTCAACAACGTATCTGCAACGGTGAAGGGAATGCGAGTATTCGCTACAACGCGCTGGTTTTGGTGTATCAGTTAGGATGGCTTGATCACGTCCTGCGTACGTCAGCGTTAGCGTTTTTCCCATTGCTCCCTTTTCGCTCCTGAAGGACGTAGTTGGAATGGACGACGCGGTGGTCAGCTGTCCAACTGGCGACAGCATATGAAATCCTTGTCTTCATATCCTGCTGCCGTTGGGTCCACACGTCTGTTTGGTTTGGAACCAGAGGACGAGGAGTACCGATGGTTGGAAACAGTTCAGGATATGGCGCGCGGCATAAACCAGTGGAAGATCTGTGTATATACTTGTTTAAATTCAGCTGCCTAATGCTTAGTCACTGAAAATAACCAAAAAGAATGTTGGCGTTTGCAAGATAACCAACAAGTGTTTCATTTTCCTTTTATTGCGGCACAATAGCTGAAGGTGAACTGAAATGTGTTGCTCACCTTCAGCTGTGCCATAATGATAATGCGATGATTACATATCTCGGCTTCCAGTGATTTCCATGGTTTTGCTACTCTCCATATCTATTCTTTACTGTTGCTAATACCTACTGACCTCACTGTTCGAACAGGTCTGGAAGGATACCATCCCAGGTAACTAGAGTAAATCGATTATAGTGGCAATGTACAAGAAGCGAAGTCGCACTGGCTGTGCACAACGCCAAAGACTGGACTCGATTCTCTTTCGTCGCCTCACTGCAGAACTGGAAGTCCGGATTACAAGGGAGCAGGCAGGTTTCCGCTGAGGACGGGGCAGTATAGACTTCATATTCACTTTGCGGCAAGTGCTAATACAGTGCCATGCATATCGCGACCGACAACAGCTGTGTTCCTCGACCTCAGAAATGCGTTCGACTCAGTCGGCCGTGGCCTTCTGTTCGAAGTACTTGTGCAGAAATGTGTTACTATGAAACATTCTACGTGCTTTATACTCGAACACTACAGACCGCGTCAAGACCTACGGTGATTTGTCGGATGCCTTTTTGACAATAAGTGGCGTTCGTCATGGTTGTCCAATTTCCCCATTTTTTGTTCAAATTCGTCGTGGACCCTATCATGGAGTTTCGCGATGCAGGCATTGAGGTGTTACTTGGTGAAAAGCTAGTTGATATTGATTGTGCGGACGATATTGCCCTGCTTTTTAACGATGTTGGATCAGTGCAATCAACCCTGAATAGCCTCTCTGTAGTGGTCTCATTATTTGACCCGCGCTTCGCACCTCCAATGTGCAAAGTGTTGCTGCAGGATCACCGGTCACTTGATGACCCCTTGACCGTTGGTAGCGAAGAACTCGAGTTACTTGATCAATTAACTTACCTTGGCAGCTGTATCAGCAATGATGGCCGCATAACTAATGAAGTCAGTGCACGTATTCCGAAAGCAAGAACTGCCTTCTTGAATCTGCGAAACTTGGCATCAGGAAGAAGTTTCTCTCCATCTAAAAGGACCCGGTTACAAGGCCACAGTGAGAGCCATCCTACTCTACAGTAGTGAGACTGCCCCCCCCCGACCTGAAGATCTGCGGCGCCTCGGAGTTGTCTGGCGCATTGCTGGTATCGGGTTGAACCGGCGTGTCCCCAACGATGATGTGCGTAAGCATATGCAAGGTAGCGATACTCAGACTTGTTCGTTAGAACAACAGATAACACTGAATAAGTTGCATTGTCTTGGGAACGCGGTTAGTATGCCCGGTCACCGCTTACCGAGGAGGGCCGTGTTTTGTGTACCAGATGTAGAGTGTCTCAAGGCTTGAGGTGAGCAAAAGTTGACTTGGCTGCGGGAAATCAACTCACTGACGACCCAGCTCGGTGCCGTCTGTCCATCTCGCCTTTCAGGCTGGAGTCCACGTGACCCGCCTTGTGCTTGGCTCGAGACGTTACAGTACATGGCTCGCAATCGACACAAGTGGCGTGTCTGCTGTCGTTTCCTGGTCGGATCGCCTATTTAAAGTGTTTGATGCTGTTGTCTGCGGACTAATGGCTGAATATGACGCGGAGCAGTGAAAGCCACAAGGAAGCTGTCCCGCCGATGCCGCCTTATTTCTGCACGATAGTCAGCTGTTTGTGACGGTATGTTGTCTGCACAAAGGGTAGGCGCCTTGACCCTGGGTGTTTGTTTAAGGCATTAAGGTTTTCCGGTAAATCCCTCCTTTTCTCCTTCGTTTCGTTGGTCACCGTGGTTGTACGACAATAAGGTATCAGCTCAAATGGCTTAGGTACTGTTATTGCAGTTTCGAATACAATTTCTCAATTGGAATCTTATCGGCATGTGATCCATTCGCAAATAGCTGGTCCCAGGATGGTGGACGCGGTTGCTACGTCGGAAGTTAGTGCTAATATGAAATAGATGAATATCCGTGCACAGGTGTAGCAACTGCTCTCGGTTATCATTATACTAGTCCACACCATATTAGTCACCCAGATGCCGGCACATTTGGCACATAACCGCCTTCATGGAAAGTTTGAGTCTGATGCGAATTACCGAAAAGAATTCTTTACTCAGAATCTGTGTCCCTTTAATTCATTCTATGAAATGGGAATTTTTGGATTAGCATCCCCTGGTTCAGTCACACTTGAGTTTTCATATCACAAGGTAGCAATGCAGCATCCGTGCTTTTTCTGTGACAAAACAGCTCGATCACTTGGTGCTAGAAATCATATTTTACCCATTCAGCGCTACAGCTTGTGAGGGCGTAAGCAGTGATGACAAATAGGCATCTGTTGTGCCCGGGACTTCGAAGCTTTGAACGTGCCGGCCAAACTGATGGCACACCGGCTGTTGCTTGGGATTCAGTCGATCCAGGCATTTTCAGCCCTGGGGGCTCAAAGCATTACCACGCCGGCCTGAGCTGCCTTCGAGGCGGCATTATCTCCGAATAGGCCTGACGAGGAAGTGCTGGCAAGATCATATGAAGATGATCGTAGGGTGAGCACCAAGCTCGAGTCTTACAGGCGCGTTTCCGATAAACACCACATATTTACCGACATGGTCCATAATGTTTTGGTAATTCCACTCATTTGATCGATTTACAACGAGGTGTGTACCTTGAGACATGATAGTTTTAGCGAGGATCGTGGGCTCTAAATAGAAGTGGATGAATTAAAGTTGTACTTTTATTGGCCATGGATTTTCGACCGTAGGGTGGCGATGCCCTGCGATTGCTTGTGAGCCGACACTGGGAGACAAACGACTATCGAAGCAATATGAGAAAGCGTCATGAGTTGAGGGCTTGCTAAGTGGGGATAAACGTAAAATTATCTTGATACTATACGGATCAAAACTTTATGATGGGAGATCATTCACCCGAAGGACTCAGTTTCTGCTCTGTCGTCGTCGTCATCGTCGTCTACGCTATCAGCAAATGCTTCCAACCACTCATTTAGTCGCATCTTTATTGCTGTCCTGAAACAACAAATGTCTTGAATTGTCTCTTGGTTGATTTTGTTATTGTATGTACTTGGTGTAACATCGACATATTGTGCGCTTTCCTCTGGGCTGCTCGAGCATACATGCGATGTAATCAACCCGAACACATCACTAAAAACGACAGCCGATGTGAGATCATTTTATTCATTTGTTGCCGACAAGCAAGGCGTGCTCCATGATGGGAAGTGGAATTGAAATGATGTTTGTCCTCATGAAGGACGCATCTTTCATGCATCATAAACAGTAGATGAGTAATCCCTTAGCGCGTTGCAGCTGTTTACATACCTTTCCGGTCCATCTCCAGGCTGTGACGGCTTCATTCGATTGGTTACCGCTGTACTGCAAGCAACTGTGGGTAATTTCTCTATCCGGCAAAGAGAAATTATGCTCTGACACTTTCTCTTGTGAACACTGTTTGGCCCATTTGTGGGATCCTCTGTCAACCAGCTGCCTGTGCAAGTACGAGTTATGCAATAATGCGACAACCGATATTCCAGCAACCGCCTTACATCCTATTAAAATGGTGGGCTTAAACTTGCCTGCTTGCTGTTTATTGTCCAATATGCTTTGGATGACTGTACTTTGATGGCACATTTTTGCATAGCTTAATAAATCACGAAGGTGCACAGCGTTCAGCGTCGCATTAAAATTCAGTCTCGTAACAATTCGGCGCAGTATCCTGGCACTTTATAAAGTTCCTCGGAAAATAACACTCTTTGCTCTAGCTGCTTCTCATTCAGTTTAAGCAAGCTTAGAGGTCTTGATCACATATTTGGGCAACATCTCTGTTAATACCTGTGTCGGCCAAATGTCCGATTTCCATCCGAAAAACGAATTTCTGGTGGAAATCGGACAGTCAAAGAATCGACGACACTTATACTGTTTCCAATCGACTCACCATTCCCATTCCTGTTGCTTGCTGCTTAGCGGTTGTTCAAGCAGCATTTGATATTGAAGAAACCTGCGGCACGCTTTCGCAATGATCCGTTGCTGAAAGTAGTGAACATGCATTGTGCAGGAACTATACGAACAGGATGATGATGAAAAATGGTAGGCATGGTTTTCACATCTGCGTCACCGATTTCACTGCGATGTCCCAGAACGTACCCATACTCGTGGCTAACTATTCACAAAGCGTTCTGTTATGTATTGCTTCGTAATTTTGAGCACTCAGTATAGTCTTTAACGGTGTCGAATGCCCTTGTTTTCCACACACCGATTTCAATCCGGAACCGGACAGCAATCGGAAAGTTGGCCGTCCGATGGTGTTGTCAGGGATGGTATTCATTAAAACTTTTCTCTTATCATATGCAGCGTCAGTGTTGGTTTGTTTTCGCATGATTCTCTTTGGTTCCTCTCCGCCTCTCGGTTACATTTAGGCCATCAAGAAAATTGTCATCGCTGACAGTCTACATTTCCTTTGCTGCTTCCATCGGATGGTTGTTTTATGGATAATTCTACTTTCTCTGGTCACTTCGGAAGGTCTCTTCTTTGGTGTGTTTGACGGTGAGTCACAGCTTCATTTTTTTCGATTATCTACTTTATTAAGGTACCGGCATTTTTAACGGACCACGTATTTGACTTATCTGTTACTCGCTTCATATTAAATTGCAATAGTTCTAATGTCTTGCTTAGAAAAAGAGAAGATAAGGAAAGGCGGCAGAGGCAGAGACTCGTAACAAGAACATCATTAAGGTCGGCTGTTCGCCATGTCAACACCCATCTCCATCCAAATCTGTTAATTTTCTTTTGGATTCTAAATAGTAAATCAGAAAGCACCAATCGAAGTGAGAAACTTCAGTTCTTTTGATCAGACCACCGACCGGCCTTCACTTCTCTTCCTCCTCCACCCCCAATCCCAGTTACGTAAACGATGCATGTCGCTGGGGTCGCTAATGTACCTTTCACGGAAAGGCCGTATCACAAGCTAGCACTCCTTATATTATGCTTTTTTAAATATTTCATGTGAAAACCCCCAAACAACTCATTTATCCCGCTTATTCGTGACTTGGGTCTTTGAGCCAGTGAATGAAATACCTTGACGAAGACCCGTCGCCTCCGAAGAGAACCATTTTCTCATCGATTTCCATCACCAATTAGCCTTTTTACAGTACAATGTTAACTTCGCAGATAGCGTGGCTATTTGACAGTTTCCGTTTTCGGATCTACTTGCCACTGACTTCAGGACGCATGTCTCTACTTACGGATCTGGAGTTCATTGTTTGCGCCTAGTACAGTGTCATTCACGACATCCAAATCCGATCTTAGCTCAAAGTAATACTATAGGGTGGATTCGGATTGGAGTCGCGATTACTTCGGAACCAGACCACACTCTTTTACTATGCACATCTTTGACGAATCATAGGATAGTAACTAGGATGCATGTTGCTCTAGGGTATAGCTTCCTGACATCCCAACAGCTTTCAAGATTTCACATGCTCGGAGACTTTTCAACAATATTGCAAGTGCACGGATGGACCACAAGTATCAACCAAGCACAAGCGACGCGACTCGAAGTCGCGGTAGAAAATGCTCTACGATCAGGTTAAAAAACAAAGAAGCCCTCGCTATTCTTCGTCATAGAACTAGTAACAGCTCTTTCACTTTCATGGGACTCCTAGATGAACCTGGTAAATCCTTTATTAACTTGCCATCTGTAAGGCGTTTAGCGTCTACTTTGCTTCCTCCATGATTTTTGTATCTGACCCCATACTTAAATGTCCTCAATTCCTAAAAAATTCTAAGCAATGTCATAATTTCTCTCATCAGTGTTCAGCAACTAACGGAAACCATCAAACCTCTCAGGCATCCTCTGAATTGCCATTAGAATGGGTATACCCAATTTACCATGACTTCTGTTGATTATATTCACTTTATTCCTACAAACTGGTTGTTTTACTGATCAATGGAAAACCTCCTTATCATCCTACTCCTTAGAAACCGTCCCAAACAAAAGGTTGCCAATTGCCGACCGATTCATCATGCTCCCACTATCGCCATTCTGTTTGGAAAGTCAGTCACGAAAACTTTGGTGGAATTCCTTATTTCTGTGAACTTGGTTAACGCATCTCAACATAGGTTCATCGATAGACGTTCCTGCATGACCTGCTAGCTAGACTACCTTAACTACACTTCAGAATCAATACACTGGCTGTGCAATAATAATTTTACTTTGGGACTTAAAAAGCATTTGGCCTTGTATCACACAAACGCTTGTCGAAAAAGATTGAATTTGGGACTCGTTTTTAATTCGTCTTTCCTCCTACCTTCGCAATCGGTTTCACCTAGTCACTTTGGGTGATCGCCACTCTTCTCCTCTTCCAATAATCAGCGGCGTCATCCAGGGAACCGTACTTGGCTCTTTGGTTTTTCTCCTCTACATCTACGATATTGGTATGTTCATTAGGAAATGGCCAACTCTTTCTATTTGTTGATGCCATCAAGCTTGTCTGTAAGCTTTGGCATGATTTGATTCAGAGCACACTACAACTTGATCTTTACTCTTGAGGATTGGTCTGACACATGGCTGATAAAGTTCTCGACTGATACGTCAACTATTATGTTACACGATCCTCTAAGGATCAGTTAAACTTAACACAATGCCCATGCGACAGTCTACTCGTGATTTTGGAATCTGGTGTTCTTCCGACTTCCGCTTTTCTAAACAAGCCCAATACGAAATACCTTGAGCCAGACAACCTGCAGCTAACACATGCCAAAAATGCACGTAGTCACTGCCAGGTCGGAATTACTTTAAACCATCACTCGCCCTATGCTCGAATACTGCAGCTTCATCTATGGCAGTATGCGGAATTTGGACAGAAAAAATATGTAACCTTTACAGAGGTCATTCACCAAACGTTTGTACAGTAGCACATCTACCTAAAACTACCGCGAATGTCGTAATCAGCCTTACTTGGAACCTCTCTGGCTGCGACATCTAAAGCACGACCTGCTGCTTCTTCACAATTTGTTGCATCAGACACCATATTCTTATCTAACTTAGTGGTACGCCATAACAACCATCACAGACTCCACAACAAGAAATTTACGCTGCTGATACCATGGGCTAGGATAACAATACGCTCCGACTTTTTCCTCATCAGATACGCCGTCTTGTGGAACAGTCTACCAACCGCATTCAGGGCAAGTGAAAACCCAACATCATCCCACACGAAACTCGACAGATTCTTAGATCTAGAACTGTTATTCTCATCCGACAACTCACCTGATGAAATAATCCAGGATGGTCCAAAAAATATCTAAGAAAACGTCAATATGCACTCATGCAACAGAATGATCATTTCTGCTTGTACTCATCTGTTCCTAATTTATGAACTGTTTCTCACATTTTACGAATATATACGCATATCTTCAGCACACGGCCATTAGTACAATTGGCATGGTTCCACAACTTATGGGAATTACAATAAGCAGACGAACAGAGAGAAAAAGAATTCAAAACACTGTTCATGGGAGGAGAGTGTCATAGCATGTTCGGCGTTGCGCACGGTTTCTTGCCATGTCCGAGATGGTTTCCAGCCATGTGTGTTCGTGATCCTTGCGCCCCCAGCCAGGTAGTCGAGAGCGTCCAACTACGGCTGACTTTGAGGTTAGTTCCTTCATACTTTTCTCCAAAGTCATTTGTTGGCCACCTTGCTTTCGCTTCAGCCGACTTCTGCGCTCGCGAAGAGGACACGACGTGGTAAATGTTGAGTAGGCATGCGAGGCACGTGCCGAAGCCACTGAAGTCTGTGCAGTGAAATTATGCTGCTCAGCTGCCGGCGAAGTGTGTCTGATCTAAAAATCCTTTATCGAACATCTCCATTACTAGTGTGTTGTTGCTTTCATACATCAGCGATGCTCCGAAGGCAGTGGTGATCAAAAACAGCCTTTTAAAATCCTTTGTGTGAACAGGCCAAGTCTCGCAGCCACAGAGCAGGATCGCTCTCACCGTGGCATTGTAAACTCGGCCTTTCAGAGAGACCCAGCTCGTCTCGATACCAGGAATGGCGCAGATTAGCAAAGGCAACCCGCGCCTTTGAGACGCGCAGAGACGTCATTCGTTGAACCATTGACGCTGGGGCAGCTTCCGAGGTAAATGAATTTCTATACCACTTTCAACGAATAACCTGAAAAGGTAAGGATAGGAGCAGCGCCTTGCCAGTCCAGCAGGAGGCGGTCATTCGAAACTGGAAGACAGACACCCCCAACCCACATAGAACATTTTGGGCGGCCTGTGAGGAGTAGCGAATTACGGTGATGTCATCCGCTTACTCCAAATCTCGAAGTCGGTCCACCGAAAGCAGGTCGACACCACTGAGTTCGTAGTTGTCCAGAGCACCCTCCGGGATATCGTCCATAGCGAAATTGAACAAGTAGAAGGATGCTGGGCAGCCCTGTCTCACGCCACTGGTGGTACTAAAGGGGGGGGGGCGAAAGTTCGCCGTACACCTGCACTTGGGCCGAGATTTAAGAGTAGATGGCTTGTAGAATAATGACCTACATCTCGAGCACTCCCCTTCTCGGAAAACAACTCCAGTGAGCAGCTGAGTCAAACGCGGCTCGTATGTCTAAGAAGACAGCGATCGTTGACCGGCCAACTGTTTGACTACGCTCCAGTATCGGGCGGAGGGTACGGATGTGATCGGTGCAACTCCGACCTGGGCGGAACCCAACTTGCTCTTCACGTATGTTCTGTTCGAGTACCAGGCTAAGCCTCCTTAAAAGCACGGCGGCGAGCACTTCGGAAGCAACACAAATAAGACTAATCCCGCTGTGGTTAGTGTAGTCGCAATGAGGCTGGACCTTACCGTGGTGCGATGGTTTGTGTGCCTCAATGATCCATTGAGCTATACTGGGTGGTTCATTTTTGCACCATCAGAATCACTCACACAAGATTGGTCAATGGTTAGAGGCCAGACAAACTCAGCCTCCTGGTCCTCCAGGTTGGGGGTTGGAATGAGGGTGGCTCCTTATTCCTTAAAACGGACTCCTTGTAGCCCAGTGCCAAACCCGCTGCCTTACGGACAGGTTTTTGAACCAAAGGCTTTGGTTGAGAACCCTAATCATTCTCCTGTCTAGGCCTGGGCAACCTGACAGTATTCTGCCCACGCAATAAAATGAATTTCACTTCAAACAAATTTCTGATGCTCTGGCCACCGCAGAGGATAATCAACGGTGCCCTATCTGCTGCATCGGGCAGGGTAGATATGGGTTTGGATGCTATTGCTCAAGCCTTCCCGTCTTCTTATTCCCCTTCTTGCGCTTTTTCACCCTTATCGTCCCGTTCCAGCTTCACTTGTATCCCCCCTTGTTTTCAACCCCCCAATTCTCGGCCCTCGCCACCTTGCTTCAGTAGTCGCTTGTCTTTTAGTTTCAACTCACAGGTGAACGCAGAGCGTCATTCCTGCCCTGTCAACAGGCCCATGTCCAACCAAGCGGTCAAGCCCAGTTCATCGGCTTCCATTTGGAGCTCTCGATCCTCCTTCAGATTGGCATGCCTCAATATTTGCACATTGCTTCAGTTCGGTCAACAGGCAGCACTTGCCCGAACATTTGAGACCCTCTCGATCGATATCTGCTGCTTATCGGAGACCCGACTGCAAGACTCGAACTCTGTACTCACTCTGCGATCCCCTTCAGGTGACACTAGCAGCACTTTCTCATTGCGCCTATCCGGTAACGATGCAGCTTCGAGCACCGGCCAAGCCGGTGTTGGTATTGCCCTGAGTCCCCGGGCTGAAGCTACTCTGGTTGATTGGATTCCAATCAGTAGCCGGATGTGTGCGGCCCGATTGGCTGGCTCATTCAAAACTTCGAAGTTGCGTTAGACTAACAGGTGTCTATTCATTATCGCTGCCTATGCACCGACAAACTGTAGCGATGACACGGTAAAAGACGACTTCTATCGTCAACTGAACGAGCTCCTTCGCCACAGAAGAAGCTCGGACACTGTAGTGCTGGCTGGGGATCTGAACGCTCAAGGTGGAAAATTATCCACAGATGAGCTGCATCTGGGCGGCCAACATGGTGTAGGCTCCAGTAATGATAACGTTGAGTGGTTACTTCATTTGTGTGAGGATGCTCGCTTATTTCTTGCGAGCACTAATTTCCGACACAGCACCCGCCGGAGGGTGACTTGGCGCCCACCAGCCTTGGACGCAAATCGATCACATTGCTATCAGTTACCGCTGGTGAGGTTGCATCCAGAACTGTCGCTCGATTTGGAGCACAGGTGTGGTCATCGACCATGCACTTGTATGTGCTGACCTGCGGATGCGCTTTGGCGGACGCCCACAACGACACTGAGCGTATTGACACCAGCCAACTGGCGAAGCCAGCTGTTCTGAATGCGTATCGAAGTACGCTGTCATGCGAGTTAAATAAGCGCTCACTGGATGCAATTGAAGGTCACTGGTCTCATATTCACCAGACCTTACTAGCAGCAGGAAAATCCTCATGTGGTATGTCTAATCACCAACATGGACATTGGGTCTCTTCGCAGTCTCTAGAATTTATAGATGCCCGCCGGCATATTCCGGCTGGATGCGAACACAATGAAACTCGCAAAGAGCTCTGGGCAAAACTCCGTGCTAGCCTGAAGAGAGACCACGAATCCTGGTGGTCTCATCGTGCATCAGAGATGGAAATGGCCGCTGCCCTTGGTAACCATCGTAAGTTATTCCGTCTGATATGGGAAACGAGCAGCAGGAGACCTGGTGTTAGTGAAACTATACGTGACGAGAGTGGACAGCCTATCCACAACTTATCAAAACGCTTAGAGCGTTGAGCTGAGCACTTTAAAAGGCAATTTAATCGGTCGGAATGGTTAGATTTCTCGCCGGCCACTGATCGCCCTGCTCCGTGGGCTTTCCCTTTGGATCCACCCTCTCGCTCAGAAGTCGAACGTGAGATCAAACTGTTGAAGTTAAATAAAGCCGCGGGACCTGCTGATCTTCCTCCAGTCCTCTTCAAATTCGGGGGACCTGCTCTTGTGGATGATTTTCACGAGTTACTAGTCAAACTGTGGGAGCAGGAAACTGTCCCAACCGATTGGAGCCGCTCCATCATAGTCCCAATTTTCAAGGGAGGCTCAAGATCGGAATGCGGCAGCCATAGAGGAATCAGTCTGGTCTCTATCGCCTCCAAATTGCTTGCCTCTGTCATCCTTCACAGACTGACTGGCACTCGTGAAAGCCAGATTCGCGAAGAGCAAGCTGGATTTCGTCGAGGTCGTGGCTGCATTGACCACCTCTCCACCTTGTGTCAGTTGTTGGAGCACCATCACATATATTGGCGGCCCACCGTAGTCGTGTTCCTCGATATCAAAGGTGCATTCGATTCGGTGGATAGACATGCACTTTGGGACTATCTACTCAGGAAAGGTGTATCTGAGAAATATGTGAATATTATCCGAGCATTATATGCGCGTAGCTCGGGCAGAGTGAGGGCTTACGGCAAGTTGTCGTCGCCCTTTAATATCTCCAGCGGCGTGAGACAAGGATGCCCGCTGTCACCTTTCCTCTTCAACTTCGCTGTTGACGAAGTCATGGAAATCGCGTTCACAGGACACGACTTAGAAGGTGTGGATCTGCTCCCAGGAGAACGACTTCTTGACTTAGAGTATGCTGATGATATTGCCCTAATCTGTGACAGCTCACAAACGTGCCAAGCGGCACTGGACAGATTAGCACTAGCTGTCCGTCACTTCGGGCTTTGCTTCGCACCCTCGAAGTGCAAAGCGTTCCTCCAAGATTGGTCTGGACCGCCTCCTACGCTGACCCTTGGTGGGGATCAGCTAGAAGTCGTTCAAAAATTCAACTACCTGGGAAGTTGTATCAGCGCCCGTGGGATTGAAGATGAGATCACGAACCGTATAGCAAAAGCTCGGGGCGCTTTTGCTAACCTTCGCCACTTATGGCGCCGGCGCGACATCACTCTTGCCCTGAAGGGTAGAGTGTACAATGCAGCAGTACGTTCGACCCTACTGTACGGTTGTGAAACCTGGCCGCTTAAAGCAGCGGACCTGAAGAGGCTAGTTACGTTCGACCACCGGTGCCTTCGTAATTTAGCTCACATCTGGTGGGAACACCGCGTGAGCAACGAGCGTGTTCGACGCCTTGTTTACGGCACAGGAAAAGGAAATGAACCGCTCAGCACCGTTATTTCACGCACCAGGCTCCGATGGCTCGGCCACGTGTTACGCATGCCAGCCCACCGACTCCCGCGACGTGCGTTGTTTGCGCGCCGGGGGTGTGGATGGAAGAAGAGGAGGGGTGGCCAAGCGATGACTTGGTCGAGAGGAATGAAGGCCCTCACTTCTGAGCTGGCCTCGGTTGGAGCGTCTCGGCTCCCTGGTTGGGGTCCGAAAGACGATGAACACGTTTGGTTGGACACACTTGCTGATATGGCTAGGAGCCGACCTCAGTGGCGTTCGTGCTGTGAGTTTCTTTGTCCCACCCCATCCCTCTTAGCCAACCCCTCCAATCCACGGATTTCTTCTAGGCCTAATATCCATTTCGTTTCGATGGCCTTCAAGAGGGCCAGAGGAGCTTGCAATTGGTCCCAAAATACCCCGGCAAATATTCTGTCCAGTGAGGCCGGGCAAAATTCCGAAACGGCATTTTTTGTTGCCAAAAAACGCAGCATTGTTGGATTGGATAGCTCATGTTTCCGTCAACCCGCAATTATCTCGCGGACACGACATACTTTAGGGCCCTGCTGTAACGTCACTAGCACCATAAAACTACGCAACTAAAATGTGACCGACTCGGTCATCTTTCCAGCTGGCGACTTGGCGCACGCAATTATACTTCATCGGTTTATAGGAACACACAATACTGCTGTATTAAGCATCACCAGTTGGCCTAGCTGGATGGGTTGACGGGAGGCTGTATTTTATTTCACTCAGGCTGCTAAGGGGGGACGGCCCAACAAGAACCAACTGTGAAAAGCAGCACCTCTGAGAAATTTCAGGTATAACAGACATTTGTGTTCCAAGTGGACCATGAGGCTGCGTTGCGCCTCAATAGTTCCCCAACGGCATATAGGTATCGCCGCCAACCACCCCATCTAGCTAAACTAAGGTGAATACGCTCATCTTGTCTAAAATAGAGAAGAAAAAAAAAAAACCGTTCGAACGAGCAAGCTGGAGGAAATGAGCGGATTTCGGGGAAAAAAAATTGGCATTGTTAACTTCGTGTCAGGAGACACCATGTCGGACTCATCCTGGCTTACACTGTCACACGACTAGAGGTAAAATGTTAGGAACTATTACATTTCCAAAAAGGATGCATAAAGTGTCCAGGATTTTGTAAAGAGGGAGCAAAATTTTCAAAATAAGTCCAAAATTTGCAGGGAAAGTTCAAAATTTTGCAAAACCCTGTGCGATTTGCCATCTGCTCTGAGCCCATCCTTTGACTTAAAGTGTGTTCTCATTGGGCGGATGCTACGGTTCGGTGCGTTAGTCTAGAGATGTGAGCGTGCTGCCGGCTACTTAGTTAGACTACTTAATGAACCTTAGAGGCCATGGACGTCGGCACTGCAAGCAGCTTGTATGCGCCCCCCCCCACATCCGAAACCCTGGATCATAATTGGTCTGAGAGCAATGAACAGCTGGAATGTAAGCGCAAGACCGAATCCATGTCTATAATTCTAGCGTCCTCGGCAAGCCTTCTTGTGTTCGACATCATACTTCGTCAGATATTCGAGACCGACTTGTGGCTGCCTTTTCAA